TTTCAAACATTCAATCTATTTCACAAAACCCCATATAAAATATACATATTTTTGCTACATGTTTTAATTTGCATTTACCTATTTTACATATCTCTGATTGTATTTGAAAATCGTTAACCAATTCTTCATACTTTTGGCGAAGTGGTGTTTTATTAATTTGTTATTTGATATTATTAGGGTTCTTTCCTGGTATTCAAAAAGGGAAAATACGTGTCGATCAGTTATATTTTCAATTTATCAAACAATCTGGCCGCTGAATCTCTGATTCTGGTAGAGCGCCATCTGGCGAATAAAATTGTAACTAAAATCAATTTCGAAATTTTCATTATTTGCCATAAAAAGTCCCATTGCATCCTGAGTACAATGGTGTTTACCGCATTGCTCTAGCGCAAATATTCGCGGAGTTATTAATTTTTAAAATAGTGCGGGACTTTTGGATCACCCTGTATGTTATAATACTTTGTAAATGTTTGGCGTTCAGCCAAATAAAACATTGGTTAATAAATTATGTTTTGATCCAATATATACCTTTTATTAAATAATTTAATATGCCTTTATATTATTTCTAATAACTCTATATATATTGTCACGACGCTTCTCAGCCGTCGATGTTAGCGTTCAAGGTTTCTAAGAGAACAATGTGGTTCATTGTGGATACAGCTTAGTACGGTATATTTATTATAAGAGCTTTAAATAGTAGATCAGTAACTATATACAGTGATGTCTTCATTGTCCGCCACCAGAGGAATCTTCCAGGTCACCGTCTTCCCGGTCAGTCCATACGGCCATACGCCCGGAGCCCACTTCCCGTAGCCAACTTGTCTTCTGTCACCGCAGATCTGTCTAAAACTGTCCTGCTCCTCCACATTGGAATGTCGCCGTGGCACCTCTCCTCCCCACACACGTGGACCACCCTCCCGTAGCTGGTGGAATCCATCCATCTTTCTACAACTTCACTCTGGGATCCCTACCTCTCTGATATCTTGTCATAGTAAGGAGGGAATTATCTCTATATCCTAATATATAAGTTCATATAGGTTTTAATCATATTATTATGTTGTTATATAATGTTATTTCGTATTTTCATAGAAACAAACTGTTAGAGTTGTATGTATACTTATGCACATATATAATATACATATTTGAATATAATTTTAGAATTCAAATAAATTCAAAAATGATATTTCAGAAAGATCAAATAAATGGAATGAAGAAGTGCTGTTTCAAATTCAAATTATTTTCTATTTCATTGATATATATGTTACCGGGAGTATAGAAGTTCCATCTATTTTTTACTTCCTGTGGTGAATCTGTATAAGACCAATTGTCTAAATAAAGCTGTGTATGTGTGTATTATATTGAAATTATTCTATCAATAATGATATGTAGGCAATGAAACCATTCAACGCAGTTTCTTTTAAAATAAAAAACAAATTTCTACAATTCTCTAACTGAATATTGAATTTTAAAAAATTGGGAAGTCTTGACTCAACAGTGATGGGGACATCCCCAGTAGTTTATTATTTTTTTTTTAAATAATTTATCATTAATCCCAACACAATATAACTTTTCTGTTTAATTTTCACGTCAAAATTATTGTTTCTCTGCTAAAATTTCGCTTATAAGGATAGAAAGGCCTACTAGCTTACGCACCCGATTTTAAAATAACTTCTAGATACTTATACATTGATGTTTCATTCCTAAATCTTCACTCAGAAAAGCAAAAAATATTCAAAATATTTTATATTCATTATTAAAATATCTTTTAGACTTTCAATGCTGAAGCCTCGTTTAGAAATACAAAAAAAAAAAAGCCAGAAGGCTTGTGCATTGATTATAAAATATCAAAAAAAATAATAATCTGCATGTGATTTTTTCATTTACAAATAATTGAAATATTGAATTTTGAATGATAATAAGTAGCAGATTGTTAGAAAACACGTTGAATTCCACGCCACACTTATAAGAAAGAAACGCTATTAGAGGCATGTTTCACAGCTTCCTGAATACTTCTTATCGAAAGATAATTGTTTTTGCTTATCCCTAGTACACGTGGTACAGGCAATGATAATCTTGGTGGTTAGAAGTAGGCGACTGCATTTACAGTAAATGTATCACATGTGAAAAACAGTTCGAATTTGCACTCGCAAATGTGGCATTGGAGCATTCATTTTTTAATCAGAAAAATTGTCCGATGCGGGAATCGAACCCGGGTCGTAGCGGTCGAATACCAGCAGTTTATACCATCCTTCCACCGACTCCTAAGATAAAATATATTATATATGATAGAATATGCCATTAGAGCTTTTTTTCATTTGAAAAAAGTGCCTATTGCTGGAATCAAACCCGGGGCGTAGCGGTCGATAACAAAAGGTTTAGACCATTCTTTTACCGACCCCCAAGATAAAAAGTATTAGATATAATAGAATGTGCCATTGGAGCTTTTTTTAATCAGAAAAAAGTGCCCAATGCGAGAATCGAACCCGGGTCGTAAACGGTAGAATACCAACAGTTTATACTATCCTTCCATTGACTCCCAATATAAAAAGTAGTAGATAGTTATAGAATGTGCCATTGGAGCATTTTTTAATCATAAAAAGAAAGTGCCCAATGCGGGAATCGAACCCGGGTCGTAGCGATCGAAAACCAACGGTTCAACCATTCTTCCACCGAACCCCAAGATAAAAAAGTATTAGATAGTTATATAATGTTGAATTCCACACCACACATATTATTACAAGGAAGTAACGCTATTAAAGGTAGTTTTCCCAGCTTCCTGACCTCTTATCTTCCAAGTCGTTCCACAGTTATCAGGAGAACACACCTAAATGAGGCTCTCAGCAGTAGAATTTAAACCTACTCCCCCTTCATTAAGAACAGTTAAAGGCGTTAATCATAACCCACTTGAGAGCTAATCCCTGATTTGAACGCCTCTCTCCCCATCTCTCATTATAGCGAAGGGAATATACCGTGAGATAGGGAATTATCTTGGTGGCCCTTATTGGGAGACGATATATATGCAATTATGTGTGTGCCATATATATACATTTTATGTATTCCATATATATATATTAATGTGTTCCATATATATTTAATATTCGATATATATATTGAAAAAAGAGCAATCTATAAATAAATCTTTAATTAAAAAGGCATATATTGGATCAAAATATCATTTATTTTACCAATATTTCAGTTGGCTGAACGCCAAACATTTTCAAGGTATTATAACATATTAATGTGTTAACAACTGAGTTTGTTGTTGACAAACATTAATATGTTATATATTATGATATATTAATTGCTTTACTATCCCAGCCACCCTATTCTCCTGAACTTGCTCCCAACGACTTTTTCCTTCACCCTAAAATTAAAAAGTCTTAAAAGGGTGTCGATTTGACTCAATAGCTGAAATGAAGAAGAATACGAAGAATATTTTGAAAAGCCTGAAAGATGAGGATTTTCAAACTGTTTTGATATCTGGAAAAAAAGATGGAACAAGTGTATAAATAGTGACAGTGATTATTTTGAGAAATTTCAAATAAAACTTTATTATACTTTTGTATTTCTTTGAATATTTAGCATTCCTGGGTATTATTGATCTCACTATGTATTAAAGAGATCACTTTGTCTGATGATATAGCAATTAAAATTACTAAAAAGATATACCAAATATAATCCGCTACAATTTGCATAAATAAATTAAAATTTTATTTTTAAAGTTGAATGATATATTTATAAATACCAAATTTAGAAATACTCTTTTCAATTTCAAAGAAATAATTTAATTTAAATAGATATACCCTCTTTTTCTATTTATAAAATATTTTTAAATCCAATTTGATCCCTGGTAAATATTTGCAAGTGAATAGATGTTTAAATTGATTTCTGTAAAAGTTCTATAAAGGTATTTCATCCTTCTTAAAGGATTTTGCACAATTTGTAATAAATCAATATAGAGTAAATGAAAACATTAAGACGCGAATGTTTCTTTCAAACATTAATCAAACTTCTACTGTCCTTACTGCAATGTAAACATATTGAAAGGGCTTCGCTTATCAGTTTTGAACCTTCCCAGTGAATTTGCCAGTTTAATCTACCAGAACTCTTCTTTAGAGCTCTAATCCTGTATAGGATCAGTTGGTTTATATACTACACTGAAAGGTGGAACCTTAGAAATGGTTAAACAAACTATGAACATAATCTTTTAGAATAGTAGAATTACATTTAAATATTTGCATCGAGAAATGCTCTTCAGCAAACAATAAGGACATATTAGACATAAATTAATACAAAGCAATACTATTTATGAGAGGATGATTTGTGAAGAGTGATGATAAGCGGAAAAATAAAAGTTTCCAGGGATGTGTATCTAACCCACAATATTCCGTTTACCGGGCAGATTCCATGTCCACTAGGCTACCCTGGACATATTTTTCCGTTTATCATTATTCTTCACAATTTATCCTTTTATACTTCATCCCTAAGGTTAGATATAATCATCATTTCTCCTTAAATTTCGTTTTTTCGCTCAAAAGAAAAACATGCATGATAATTTTCAAATGTGGTTCTACAATACTATTTATCCCTAAAGGCCAAGTGTTGATACTAAAAAAAGTATATTCTGATATATGAAATGGTATTTAAGGCAAATATAGGCAAATGTTGTTGTTGTCGTGTCCAAAGAAGAGCATCTCCATCACAGCAGCAGCAATATCCATTATCTTGGGTGTGTAAAGCTGCTGCTCTGGGTGTAAGTCAATTTTCTGCAAGGCTACGGCCATTGCTGGGCATGTGAATATGTAAGTAGGTGTTAGTTCCACACCAGGACAGTTGTTGCATGTCCTATAGGTTCTTGTGCCATCGTTTCCAAGGTGACTAACGTGGCAACGGCACCCATTTTCCAATGAAGAGACATAATCTTCTTCATTTCAATAAAATTATCCCTTGATTCATCAATGAGTAAAACACCAGGCCTCCAGAGAAATTTATATTTTCAAAAACTTGTTAATCTCTAGCTTTTAGACATGAACGTTCTTCTGAAGGAGAAAACACAATAAAAAGGCTGTTAGCACGTTTTCTTTGAACTTTCTTCTAGAAAGAATGAGCTGACTCACTTCGATTCAATTCGATTTATATCAAAAAACAAAATATAATTACAATGAGATTTAATACGATTTAATTGTATGTATTACATAAAAGAAAACAGAAGAAGAAAAAAAAAACAAAAAGAATGATGATAAGTAACAATAAAATTCTATGAATATGAATTATAATTAATTAATAAAATACAATAATAATAATTAAAAAAAAACCCTAACAAGGGCAAATCATTGTACAATCATGGTATCGTGTTTCTCATGTAAAAGGAAGTTCGTACCTGAAAGCTAGATATTAAAACGAGTACAGCTAGGTGGAGCAGAGTATCAAACATAGAGTTATCTTGACAGGTAGAGATTCAGTAAGGATTGTATGTTTGCTAGAATCATTTTAACAAATGTTTATTAGGCAAACTTTTACTCGGTTCAAAAACCGAGCGAAGCCGGATATATTCACTAGTAAATAATAAAAATGAAATATAATACAATGTTTTTCTAATTATAATAATATTACAAAAAAAAATTAAATAGGGAATCATATAATTCGTGATTTTTGAAATATTTTAAAATTGAATTATAAATGATTCCCAAAATATATAAATTGGCCTGAAATAACTATTAATGAAGAGCACTCATGGACAAAACTTCGGGGAAACAAAAATATCAGGGTTCAGACAATAACTCTGAAAGGTTCACAGTGTTCTTTACTGAAGACACACGAGAAAACCAAATGTGAACAAAATTACCTCTGTCTCCTTATAAAAACAGACGACTGTCGATATCAAAGTCTTTCCTCTCCTTTTATTTTTGTCCATGAGTGTAAATTTAAATTATATTATCAATCGATATATTTCATAAATTTATTTTTATTTTGAACAGAATTTATCCTCCATAAGAATAGTTTTATATATAAATTTTAAACACACCTCTATTCTTTTCAAAATAGAGCCATCCATAAATAAATTCTTAATTAAAAAGGCATATATTGAATAAAAAAAAGTTTATTTTACCAATATTTTAGTTGGCTGAAAGTTAACTTTTTTTCCAAAAGGTATTAGAACATTTATAACTTAGAAACGTATAATACCTTGAAAAGATTGGCGTTCAGCCAACTGAAATATTGGTAAAATAAATTATTTTCAAACCAATATATGCCTTTTTAACTAAATATCTATTTATGGATTGCTCTATTTAAAAAAAGAATAGAGGTATGTTTAATATCTATATAAAAATATATTTTTGTTGAGGATAAATTTAATTTAAAAAAAAGTATATTTATTTATGAAATATAGCGATAATAATGTAGTTTTAACTAAACCTAATGAACAAAACTAGAAGAAGAGGAAAGGCTTTGATATCGACGCCTCGTCTTATTTTATAAGGAGACAGAGACAATTTTGTTCACACTTGGTTATCTCCTAGTAAAGGTCACTGTAAAATCTTTCAGAGTTATTGTCTGAATCCTGATATACATTCTAAAATGTACAACTTTTTAAAGTTTTGTCCATGAGTGTATCTTTCAGAGTTATTGTCTGAATCCCGATATACATGGTAAAAGTACAACTTCCTTAAGTTTTGTACATGAGTGTATCTTTCAGAGATATTGTCTGAATCCCGATACACATGCTGAAAGGTACAACTTCCTTAAGTTTTATCCATGAGTCTATCTTTCAGAGTTATTGACTGAATCCCGATATGCATTCTAAAAAGTACAAATTAGGTTTTATCCATTAGTGTATCTTTAAAATATAAATAATTTAAAACCAATATATACTTTTTAAATTAAATATCTCTATTTACATACGCGATATATTAAAATCTTAATAAAAATTCCATGGTATTATTAACGAGATGTTAATAGACAAATTTATAAAGAGAATGAATACCGTGCTGGCGGTGAATACATCAAAATCTCCCAACAAGATAGGGACCTATCAACCAGAGAGGATATTAACCCCATAATTCATGTCATTGGCCCACAAATGGAAGCTTCAGATATATGGCCCGGGATTGGTCAGCCTTGGGGGTGACATATAGCTCAATTCTACTTCTATACTTGACATTGCTTCTTTCTAATTATGATATATCACTGTTTTGAAAATAGAGCAATCCATAAATGAATCTTTAATTAGAAAGGCATATATTGGATCAAAATATAATTTATTTTACCAATATTTCAGTTGGCTGAACGCCAACCTTTATCAATGTGTTATAACATATTTATTGTGTGTCAATAACAATTCAGCGCCATGCTGTATAACATTAATATGTTACAATACCTTGATAAAGGTTGGCGTTCAGCCAACTAAAATATTGGTGAAATGATTGAATTTTTAAATCCAATATATGCCTTTTTAATAAAACATATATCACTGTGTTATATTAAGATTATTTACAAAATAGTACAGATGTAAAAGCGTATTGATATCGGGTGAATATATAAGAGAAAGACATATTCTGATTGTGAGAATGAAGGTTGCTGATGGCTTGCGCCATCTATTGGAATAAATATAAACTAATCGTTGATTTCTAATTATACAAACTACATATAGCTCAATTGTACTTCTATAGTTGACATTGCTTACTACTATTCTAATATATCACTGTTATAGTAAACATATTCAACTAAAGAGTTTTTGATAGTATGCGCCATCTATCGGAATGAATATAAACTAATCGTTGATTTATAATTATACATGCTACATATAGTTCAATTCTATCTCTATAGTTGACATTGATATTTATAATTCTGAAATATGACTGTTATAGTAAATTCTTTTAGAATGTTAAAAGAATAGTACAATATATATATATATTGACGTTATGTGGCGTTGAGTTTGTTGTTGACAAACTTTGAAATGTTATGATACCTTGATAAAGATTGGCGTTCGGACAGCGAAATTATTGGTAAAATAACTTATAGTTTCATCCAATATAGGCCTTTTTTAATTAGAGATTTATTTATGGATTGCTCTATTTTCAAATATATATATATCTCTATATATATAAAAATCAATGTTTGTATGTTTGTTTGTTTGTATGTCCGGTATACAAATTCGCAGTAGTTCACTAATTCAAACCAAAATTTCCATACAAAGGTAAACAAATACGGGGAAGACGATAGGCTATTTTTAAAAATATATAAATTAATTATTAAAACTATATATTCAAATTATTCCACTTAGCTCACGAACAGCGCACTCTACCAAAGATTAGATAAAATTATGCTGATGCAAACAAATAGATAAAGCTAATAACAAACAATTATAAAAAAATCTTATCTAAATATATATCACTCGGGTAGATATGCACACGGGTCAATCCCGGGGCGAACCCCGGGTCACACGTCTAGTATTATATAATCTAAAATGTAAATATTTAATTTTTTTAAAACATGTATTTTACTTTCATCAATGACTATTATTTTATTTTTGACCATAGATTTAGAAGATACCATTTTTTTTTTTCAATATAGTTATAAATATGTAGAGTTAACTTACCTTTTTTTAATTCACGAATATAGGATTCATTTAATAAATTCTATATTAATCTGAAAAATAAATTTATGTGTAATTTACCTCAATTAATTTAAAATAAAACGACTTGATGGGTAAATAATTATCTTTCCTATTTTCACAACTGCACCTTCGGTTTTCTATATTTTTCAACAACAAAACAAAATATTTATAAAGTACATATATATATATATATATTTAGAAAAATATATTATAAAATATTCTTTCACAGAAGAATTAAAAATATTTATAATCAATTGAAAAGACACGTTAAATATATTAAATTTTTACCTTTTCAAAGTCAAAAAACGATAAATCCAATATGTAGGGTGTAGCTTCAAATAAAATCAAATTTCTAATTTAAATCGGAGATATTTTCACTTTTTTTTATATAATCCAACATTTTATTCGTTGGAATTTCTACTTTTTTTGTTATTTTTCTCTCTCGAATTAAATTTGGGGGAAAGAAAAAAAATTCCCATGCCTAAATCGTCACGTAGTAAGTTGAAATATTCAGAACGCTTCTAAGTAAAGATTTTTACAGTTTTTATCTAATGGATTGAGGGAGACCTTTCATAGTATTTTATTCCCCTAAATTGACCGAAATTCAATGTTTTTTTTTGTAGCAAAGTATCGTTTGAAATATACGCTTCGCAACTAAAAAATTCTGTATGAATATTAAATGCTGCATTTCTAAATATTTATATATATATATATATATATATATATACTAGCGGATGTGTACCCGGCTTCGCCCGGGTTTTATCCGAATGAAAGTTTGCCTAAAGAATATTATTGATAATAATATTCCGGAA